TAACTATTTAAATCACCCCGCAGCTTGTAATTTAACACATTCCTCAGACGACCATTTAACTCATTCTCCAGATGATAATTTAACACATTTCTTGGTTTATAATTATATTTGTCCCTTAACTTATGTTTAACCCACTTTTCAACTCATTTTTTAACTGATCCTTCTGTTCATAAATTAACCCATTTCTAAGCTCGTAATTTAACACTTTTTTCATATTCCACAAATTTGCTACACAACTGAATTTGCGATCGCAAAATTTTTAAACGCCGGAGTACAAATGCTGTTCTTCAGTTGCGGTGACTGTGTCTCAAGAGACTGTAAGGAATGCCAAGGAGCAAAAGGCGCCGACCGTCCTGCCCTCTCAGGATGCCGACTGTCACAATGGTGGCGTGCAATGCGGTAAAAATGAGGAGTGCATCCGCGGAAACAACAACGCCTATCACGTGAGCCAGCTTTTCTCTTTTCCAGAGGGTAGAGAGTAAACAAGTTCCTCCCTAAAATGGAAGCAATGCTGGGCTTCTTGACTGCCATTACAGTAGTTCCAGTCATTATCCCAGAGCAAGGCATCGCTCGTTTTTCTTTGGAAGCTGGAGAAGATCAGAGGTTTTTTGGGAGATTCACTCCCAGCAGATTTTTAGATGATAAGCACTTAGGCGCAGAACGTTTTTCTCACTATCGCTATCATGTACGTGGGAAATTCTTTCGGAGCTTTTTTGCTTTTTAGTTCCAAAAGAATTTAGGCGTATAATTTAATCTTCGCAAAAATTTTTTTGGAAAAAAATTTCTTCGCTTTCTGAGTTTTTTATTTTACTAGCTTTAGTATTAAGGATTTTCTTGATTAGAAATTGTTCTTCCAAGCGGGGCAAGAATCGAATTACAACTGTTGCAGTGTGAATGCACGCTTGGCTACGAGCGCAATTTGCAAAGCGGAGAGTGCACTGCACCAGGATCCTGCAACCCATCTGCTCCAAACCCTTGCGATATCCGGAAACGAGAAAAGTGTCTCTTACACAGCACAGGACGTTACTACACATGTCAGTGTGCTGCCCATGAAAAACGCCATCCGGTTACTGGCATATGCTGTAAGCTTTTGTAATTTCACTGGAAAAACCCACATCCCGTTTTCTATCTTCTAACTTACCAATAACCAATTGTCAATGGCACTGTGAGTGGTATCTAAGGGGTAGTAATTGACTACTCGGATAGTCTTCAAAGAGGGGCACACATGTTGTTAAACAAAAATTATTAGAACTTTGAAATATAAAGCGGGCCGTTTAACAAAAAAGGCCCTTTCCCTACGGTTTCGCCGGATAGAATTTGATTTCTCTGACAGAAGACATTGGGGAAATATTGGAAGAGAGCACCAAATACCCATCATTTAACTGCATCTCACTTCTTTTGGCCAAAAAACTACACTTTTTTGAAAAGTAGCCCTACAACTCACACAAAAAAAAAATCGCGCTACATCTACTACATTTTATCACAAAGACGGATGATGCGGTTGGATGTTGAATCGTCTTCGATGTTCTCAATGATACATACACTAAATAGACGATAGGTGCTGTAACCGGAGGTATGCAGCCCAGGATCGGAGTTTTTTATAAATTACACCCAGAGTAGGAGAGCCACAGGTAACAACACCAAGCGGGATATCCACATTTGCTATTCCTAATAGAGCTAAATATTAAATTGTAATTCATAATTCTCATTTCAAATGTTTTTGACTTTCAATATTAAAAATTTAAAGGCTTATGCGTAACTTTCAGTGCAAGATGAATGCACGTCGGGTGCACACGATTGTGACAAAAATGCTCGTTGCATTGACACGGATGATGGATTTTTGTGTGCCTGCCGAAATGGTTTCCTGGATCAAAGTCCGGATCCCGTTAACAAACCGGGCCGAGTTTGTGTAGCTGAAAAGAACGAATGCCTGGACGGGACACATAAATGCTCACCAAATGCCATTTGTACGGATACCGTTCAAGGATACATTTGCCGCTGCAAACCAGGCTACGTCGATTTCTCACCAAATCCGCATAGGTTAGTAAAGCATTTTATGCACTAAAAATCTCGAATTTGTCTCGTTTGTGTGTGTGCCTTTGCATGTGGTGTATGTTATGTCTGCTGTAAAGTACAAGCATAACAAAGAATTAAAAAAGAGAATACCTATTTATTCCAACAGGAGAAGTTGAATGGCAATAACGAGTGAATTTGACCGTAAAACGAAGATGAGTAAAAAAATTTTTAAAGAACTCAAGAGGAGAAATTTTACGTAGAGCCTGAGATCCAATTTTAGAGAACAGTAAATCTCACCATTTCCAGCGGTGAATTCTTAGATGTATTGGCTAAATGATATATTAAAAAAAATTGATTTGTGAAAAAAGCACCAGGCTTCATAAGTTTAAGGCACGGAATTTTGTAAATAAAACTGGTGCAGGAATGTGTGGTGTAGGAATGAGTTATGGCGCTGATTCAAACAAAGAAAAAATTGGAAATGAGATGAATACGTTTAGCAGCCTGGTTACAATACAAATCTTTCGTGTAAAAAAAATTAAAGGAAAAATTAACTTCCCTAAAATCAATTAAGATTAAATCAAAACGAGCGATTTCTGAGCTCATTGCGAGTTTCAGTTTTGGTGGCATTGTTTGCAAGCAGGTCGTAAACGAATGCCAGAATCCCAGTTTGAACACGTGCCACAAGGATGCGATTTGTATTGATACTGCCGATTCCTATAAATGCATCTGTAAGACGGGTTATACGGATCTGGATGAGCTGCGTAATCCGGGTCGAAATTGCCAGAAAGGTGAGCTGGGGTATTACTTTCTTAAGAACTCGTTCGCAAATTCATGCAGTATGAACTTTGCTTTTTATTACTATCTTATCAATGTAGCATTACGTTCGAACATTAGTCCATGATTTCTAGAATTCAGGATCGCGACTTAGGTCTGTTTGAGTTTGAAAAATCTTTTAAGGTTCGATTTGTGAGTAAAAAAATTCAGGCAGTCATAATCAAAGTTTTGCATATTTAAGCCACAAACTGCATAAATAGGACTTAGGTGATTTTAAGTAAAATGCATAATGTGTAGCATAAAACTTCCTTTATTTAGCCGTTCGTAATTTCTCGCTCTTTTCTGTCCTTCTCCTCTGCACCTTCTTTCCTATAAGCCTCGATTCCTTTCCGTCTACGCTCTTTATTATCTTTTGCCCTGTTTCCGTAGCAAATATACTATAATAAAAAAGTGATTAATTCATTAAATTGAATCCGCCTGAAAGGAGTGGGATTTGAACAGGAAAAAAAGTAAATGATGTTTAGCCCCGAACAACACGAACGTGAAACACATTAAGACGTCTGAACAATCAGTATGAGTATCTTATGTTTGAAAATGTTACCGGAATTTCCCACATGCCGTACACCGCTATGTCAGGCCGTTCGATCCTGAGCTGCATACTTCCAGTTAGTATCAAGCATCTGTCCGATGTATGAGCATCTGTCCGTTGGAATTGCCCGAATGATCATTTACATATTCGCTGGCACACTCCCGAATGCGCAAAGTCAGCCATTTGTTGACAACGCGAGCAACATGCCTTGCCTGCCAAATTTTGTTTTCTCGTGTGGTGACAGTGTTAAATTCAGTTTTAAGTAAAAGTTGGACACTTCAATAATGTAACAGTAGGTAACTATGTAATCATTATCTTACTCCGGAGATGATGATAATAAACAAAGGCTGGAACGCATCAGGCGAGCCGGTGCGATCATGCGTTTTTGCATCAAAACTAAAGT